TCTCTCTCTCTCTCTCTCTCTCTCTCTCTCTCTCCCTCCCCCCCCCCCTTTTTCTTTTCCACCTTCTATTTCTCTCTATATATAGAAACAGGCATATAGATCTATCTATCAATCTCTTCCCCATCCCCAGCCCCTGGAAAACATCACTCTATTTTCAGTCTCTATGAATTTAACTACATCATAACTGGAATTATAATATTGTCATTCTGCATCTCCCTTATTTCATATAGCACAATGTCCTAAAAATTATTGTTACTGTAGCACGTATCAAGATCATACAAAGTAATTTTAAAAGATATTCATTGAATCATCATTGTATTGAGCTCCTACTGTAGGGAGGACCTGTACTTATTGCTGCAACAACAAAGAGATAAATAACAGTCTCTACTCCAACTGTCAGCTAACTGATTTCCCTTTTTGAGGGTCCAATGTGCTATTTAGTGAGAAGCAGTCAATGTTCCTGCCTACCTGGACTTCTTCTACACCCTTGAAAACAGCTTTCTAAATTCTAACTGTATACTACATAGACTCTCCAGATGAACCTATTAATTCCAAAAGACAATAAAACATGGAAATGACTGACAGAAGGAGCTTCAAACCACATCACTATCGTGAGGAAACAATAATAGATGGAGCCCATGTTTACTCAAATCACCCTCTAGAAGAGCAGAACATGGCCACTTTCTCTGGACCACTCATGAAGTTCTAATAGACACCAAGACTTTCTGTCCAATAAAACTGCTCCTGGAATACCCATCATCATCTCTAGTTGATCAACAAAAAAGACCTTGGATGGAGTGACGATCTGCATTTGTAGGCAGAACAAGAGCAAGATATGCAACATTCACTGAACTCCTACTCAAAGTACCAGAGCTGGCAAGATAGCTCAGCAGACTAAGCACCTCTTAGGCAAGCTCAGCAACCAGGGTTCAATCCCCAGCACTGCATGCCATGCCGGCCCCACCCCCATGCCTGCTAAACAGACCAAAGGGACCAGGCGTGGTGGTACATGCTGTAATCCCAGCACTGGGGAGGCTGAAAACAAGAGGATCACTACAAGTCCAAGCTATGTAGTGAGACCCTGTACAAAATACATTTAACAAGGGGGTGCGGGGAGATAGCTTAGTGGAATAAGTGCTTGCCTGGCAAGTGTAAGGTCCTGAGTTCAATCCCCAGTACAAAAAAAAAAAAGCCAAGTACCACATTTGTCACCTCTACCAGTACAATAATCCCTCACCGCAGAGGTTATGTTCCTAGACACCCCCGCAACAAGTGAAAATCAGTGAAGTACTTACTTTAGTATTTATATATATTTTAAGGCTTTATAAGCCCTTCCCACACTCTTATAAACCTTTCCCACACTTTTAAAAACACTTCTAATGTTGTTAACCATTTTCTAAGCTCATAAACCTATGTAATTTTAACAATATACAATACTGCACAGTACTGCAAAATCCCACAATACAGCAAAAAATCCATAATAATTTAGATTAATATTTTTTGAAAACCAGTAAAACAATGAGTTGTGAAAGTTGAACCACAAAACAGCAAAGGAGTACTGTATTCCACTGGATAATCTCAATGCCCAAGGATAAGAGATGTCATCACCTAGCATTTATATAAGCATGGAAACTGAGGCTCAGATGGGTTCAACCACCCAGGGTCATACAGCTAATTCATATTGGAATTGGCAAACAAACTCAACCTTTCCAATCTCAAGGCTCTTTTCTCTACCTGTGGAGAGAAATATCCTTATCCTATTCCAAAATAGGATAAGTCCTCTGCAGCATTCCCCACTTGGAATCTTAGACTTGAAGCTTAGGAAGATGCATCCATGGTAGGACCAGCAGAAAGCATAGTGAAAAGGTGTTATCCACCACATGCAAAACCCATGTGGAAAAAAACTTGGGAAGGGCAAGTTTTCTCTGAACCATAATGAAGCAGGAGAAAATGTCTACAGCATCAACAGCTTGAGCATGGGCAGAGCTTCAGGTTGAAATGTAGACTGCTCAGACAGTTTTTCTAATTAATGATGGCTGAGTCATTAAAAAAAAGAAAAGTTGGCTCTAACCTGATGCTGAGAGAAGGATGCTCTCCTTTAAATTGCCTGAGTAGGTGTCTCCTGCAGCTTGTATCCTCCACT